TTCCCCTATTGTTTCATAGATGGCGCTCTATACAAATTTTTGATTTAAATCATTTTAAGATAATAATAAGTATTTGTCGTAGAAAAAGTATAGTATGCACCTCGTTTATAAACTTTTCATACATAATATACTATTAAGACAGTCCACTTTTAGAAGACTGAAAACTTTTCAATCTTATATATGACAGTTTAAAATTTAAACTTTAAATTTTTCAAAACTTTCTTTTATAAGAACCCTATCAGAATTTTAAGCATAGGATAGAACAATTTTAAGACAGTTTTGGTACAAAAAAGAATATTTTATGTCTTTTATGAGAACCCTATAAGATTTTTAAGCAAAGCAAAGAAGGTAGTCAATTGTTCACAACCTTCTTTTTTATACAGATTTTCTGTAAAAATACTTGAATTTTCTTATCAACAGAATTTCTTTTTAAATGTTGTTTTAACTAAAATCTGTTTAGAATTAAAATCAAACAAAAAATCAATAAAACCACTTATAATATATTTAACTGTTTTATAAATGTAATTTAACAATATAACATTGTAATAACATATTTATAGAACTGCCCTAGGGCTACCTAGCAACTTTTTAAACTTTGCGAGCAGTTTTAAGGTGAAAATATAATTGTGTACATCCGATGTTCAGTACGACTAAACCAATAAATAATTAATAGAAATAAGGCCATTTAAATCCAAACATATAATTATGTTTATTGTTGCAAAATCGACTTAATAAATTTTATTGGCCAATTTAAATATAACTAACGGTGTAATTTTTTTTCGCGAATCGATTTATAAAAATAAGTGGTACCTACGCCACGCCATTAAAATCTCGATAATCACCATTACTTTCACAAAAATAACAACTTATTAGCTTTTGGCAATACTATTTAAATTATCATAAATCATACAAATTTGTTTTAAAAATTGCAAAATAATTGTTTAGTTAAAGTAAGTTTACTTGTTACTTTTCAGTATAATAAAATCACAAAGTGGAATATGCAATAGATTGCGTTTTTTCTATTTTGTTTGTTTTATTTAATCTTTTGTTGAAAATTTAAATTGGCACAAAAGTGTCACCGTTTTGCGGAATCGTTACAAAAAGTTTGATAGACAATCCTGTAATTGGTTTCAACATTTATTTCTCTTATAATGAAATAGTCGAAATTCTATTATTTGAATTAACAATATTTATTGTGTTTTGATCTTTCATAATTAAGTAGATAGGTATTACAGCTCAGGTTCCAGATTTTTAACCGCAATTAATTATTTTTTACAATGTTTTAAAAGTCTAAAACCTATCCTCCGTGACTGTTACTCTTTCTACGTTAACCTATATGTTTTTTCAAATATCTGAGGTAGTAAAAGCATACTAAAAATATCAGTTCACTTAGTAAATTAAACACATCCAAAGCAATCGAATCAAATATGAAATATTATTAAAAATTATAATAATTTTTATAACCATTTATGTAGGTGTTACAAAAATTGTTTCTATCCTCCGTGAATCTGTTTTTGCTTTAAATTTTATGCAATGGATGGCGCTTTAATCATTTTAAATAAGCAAAAACCTCTGTTTACGACATTATAGATGCATGTGATTCCTGAAGGTCAGTTAGAACTTATTTGCAGATAAAAGTGTTGCTGTTTTATAATTCAAAAGTTTAAGTTCATTTATTTGCTATTTAAAAACATATCCACCGTGAAGTGTAATATCTCAGTAAGTAGATTTTTTTGTAAATATTTTATGTATGTACAATTGTATTTTTTTTTTAATATTAAGGTGTCAAAAGATACAGTAACTTATTTCAAAAATACAAAGGGATGTTTTAAAAAAAGCTATCTTCCGTGAAGATCTAATATTAAAAATGTATGATTTCTTAAAATTCTTGCATTAGTGCAGAACCACTTATGTTATGTTATTACTAGACCTGGAGGCTTCCCAAAAACCCCATTCTAGACTAACAGTGAAACAACCAAAAATAAAAAATAATCATTTTCACTTGGGGGACATCTCAATATATTCACCCATAAGTATATGTAAAAAAATATGTAATTTTACCATTATTTTCATCTGTGTAGTGTAATCATTATTCGAAGTTTATTAAAGTAAATAGTCATATAGATATATAGTTTATGATGTGAACCTTTGAAAATGATGGGTTCCTGAACTTTCATTTTCACGAAAAAGGCGTAAATAGATAAAATATACGGCCGCATCCGTAGGAAACTGCGATAAAATCACTGCTATTTTTTACTTTCTAACTGTTTATTGAACGATCGCGAATCTTAAGCAACGCACCTTTAAGGTTAACGGTCGTAAAGAACGAACAAGTGCGCACGGGGATGGCTTCTTCTTTTCTGCCATTGACACTTTGTAAATCTTTTGCCACTTTCACGCAAAAACGGTGACGGTTTCGCACACATAAACAAATTTATGAGGCACTGTGTGCCTAACATAATCTTTCAAAGAACGTTTTATTGCATCTTCATATAAGGATGTTAAAGCACTAATAATGCGCTTTTTGTTAGACATCGATACCTTTCAAGGTGCGTCTACAAAAAAGTTTTATTTACCGCAAAATGATAAAAGTGCTTAAATAGTTTTAAAGATGTTTTTATTAACAGTAACATAAAATGCATTCTCTATAGATCTTAAAATATGAATTTTAAAATGAATTAGTCAAATTCCACCGAATGAAAAAGTCAATTTTAAAAAATCATACATTTTGAATATTAGAACTTCACGGAGGTTAGGATTTCTTATGTTTTTTTTTAAATATCCCTTTGTATATTTGAAATAAGTTATTGTATCTTAATATTTTAAAAAAATACAATTGTACATACATTTATAAAAAAAATCTACTTACTGAGATATTACACTTCACGGTGGATAGGTTTTTAAATTGCAAAACTTAAACTTTTGAATTATAAAACAGCAACACTATCATCTGCATATAAATTCTAACTGACCTTCAGGAATCACATGCATCTATAATGTCGTAAACAGAGGTTTTTGCCTATTTAAAATGATTAAATATGCGTTGCATATAATTTAAAGCAAAAGCAGATCCAAGGAGGATAGAATCAATTTTTGTAACACCTACATAAATGGTTATAATATATTTCTTTTAATTTTAATGAATATAATTATGCCTGACCAATGTAACCTTTTTAAACCTTATCATATTTTATTGGTTGGTGCTACTTTTCGTTATCTTAAAATAAATTTTATTTGCCACTAAAAATATTACAAATATATTAAAGTATTTTAGAGGTTCAACGACTTTAATGATAAGTATGTTAATAGGGAAATCAAACGTTTTTATTGATCTATTTAAAAGTAAACACTGAACCGAAAACAACAAAGAGTTTTTATTTGATCGGTTAAAATTATTTTCAAATAATAGTTATGTCATAAGCCTGAAAAGTTTTTGTGCTAAACTAGCGGAGGCCTACAATTGAGCGAAGCACAAAAAGGCACCTTTCATCCGAATGGCATCTTCAAGACACAATTTTACGTCTTAAAAATAGAAAGTGAGGTTAGATCGATTGACAGTAGTGGAATTTTCTGAATGGTCAAAACAGGTTTTTTACGGCATTGAAATTATAGAGCGTTTTATCGGTTTTGAATTAAAAACTTTTAATTGCACATTGAATGGAATTTTAACGTTTTGGAATTTAAAATTTGCCAGGAATTCGTAGACAATTATTTTCAGTATTATACGATTTCCGTAATTTATTAATAAAATGGAATTCGCTCGTTAAAAGTTTTAATTTTGATGGCAATAAACTTTTACTGGAAATTTATATACTAATTTTTGCACTTTGGGATAAACATTTGTCCTAAGAATTATTTCGTATTTATAAAAAAAGTCTTACTAATACAGTTACCTTTAAATAAATGTTCCAAAACTGTTTAAAAATGTCCTATATATTTCTAATACCTGTTTAAAAATCCCAAAATTATATATGTAAAGGTCTAAAAACCGGCTATCGCCTCGGCAGTAAAATGTATGCCTGGCGATAATTTGTGCTTACTCCAAAGCATGTCGTGAAAGATTAAACGTGTAATTATTTTTAATGTCCTAAAATATTTTAATAAATTATCCATAACTTGTTTAATAATGTCTTAAATGTGGTAACGGTTTCAAATCAAATTCCTTAAACTGTTTTAAAATAATTTAATAAATGGGCGAAAATTGTCCTAAAACTTTTAGAAATGTTCCGAAACAGCAAAAATATTAATTAATATTACGAAATTGTCTTAAATTTATAAAAGTATAGAACACAATCCTAAACTTCTCTAAAACTTTCATTTACATAGTTGTGTATTAAAAATATACCCTGGCTAATAATTTGTCATATCTTAAATGATAAAACAAGTCTTCCATGTATAAAACATTACATTTATGAATTTTTTGATTTGCACTAATGTGCATTAGCTGGCTTAATAAATTGGCGATCGTATTTTAAGCGCGATAGTTCCTTAATTTTATAAATAGCGCAGGCCGGGAATTCAAACAAGAGCAGCGTGAATCCTGAATACCTGTCATGCAGTCGAGTAGGCTGGAATTAGAACGAAATTCCATTGCATTAAACTACGTAATATGAAACATAGCAGCTGCAATGAAAATCTTGTTTTTCTTTCCTCGTTTTTGCCGGGACACATTCAGGAAGTTAGATAATTATTTTATTAGCAAATATGAATGAAATTGGATACTAAATTAATAACATTTCGAGTGCTTACTTTATTGAATAAAAAAATTGTAGCACATAGGTATTAAATAATATTTTTACGTCTGTTAATACATAAACACGTATCTTTTTTATCTTATCTTATCTGAAATATTCGTATAGATTTTTACTTGAGTTTTTATTTATAAAATTTGCGCTTTGATTTGCGGTTTCCATAATAAATGCAAAAACATGAATCTCATGGTATCTTATTAACGTTATTTGATTATCATCATAAGTACTAATTGTTTATTTTTGTTCCAGAACCTTTCAACCGGGATAATACCTTTACCGAGAGGTAGCAGGGGTCCAAAAAGTTTGTATCTTAAAAGGGACGGGCAAAATTTTGGTTTTACGCTTCGGCATTTTATTGTTTACCCTCCGGATGGTATTGAGGTAAGTCGTGTCCAAAAATTTTACAGTTCTGCATTTTGAACTATTTAAAACCTGCACCACTAGCTTAAAACAGTCCTAAATCATTTTACAACTGTCCTAAAACAGTCTTAAAACTTGCTCCTAGTATAATGCAATAATTGCCCTATTGTCTTAAAAGTTTTAAGGTGAATCGAAACTGCCCTAAACCTTAAAACAGAGATAACTGTTTGAAAAAGAAACTATTCTAAAACTGATTCAAAATTTGTCTCAATTCTGCATTTTGATGATACTGTCTTAATATTTAGAACTATTTAAACTTGCACCACTGCCTTAAAACACAGTCTTAAATCATTGTACAACTGTACTAAAACAGTCTTAAAACTTGTTCCTAGTATAATGCAATAATTGCCCTATTTTTATCCAACTGTCAATCATATATAACTGTTTAAAAATCAAACTATCCTAAAACTTATTCAAAATTTGTATTAATTCTGCATTTTAATGATATTGTTTTAAAACTATTTAAAACTTGCACCACTGCCTTAAAAAACATTTTTAAGTCATTGTACAACTGTCCTAAACAGTCTTAAAACTTGTTTCTAGTATAATACAATAATTGCCCTTTTTTCTTAAAAGTTTTAAGCTAAATCCAAACTGCTAAAAAATTATTTTTTATTTAACTGTCTTAAAACAGAGAGAACTGTTTGAAAACCAAACTATCCTAAAACTGATTCAAAATTTGTCTCAATTCTGAATTTTGATTATACTGTCTTAAAATTACTTAAAACTTGCACAACTACCTTAAAACACAGTCTTAAATCATTGTACAACTGTCCTAAAACAGACTTAAAACTTGTTCCTAGTATAATGCAATAATTGCCCTATTGTCTTAAATGTTTTAAGTTGAATCCAAACTGCCCTAAACCCTTTTTTATCCAACTTTCTTAAAACATATATAACTGTTTGAAACTCAAACTATCCTAAAACTGATTCAAAATTTGTATTTATTCTTCATTTTGATGATATTGTCTTAAAACTATTTAAAACTTGCACCACTGCCTTAAAAAACATTTTTAAGTCATTGTACAACTGTCCTAAACAGTCTTAAAACTTGTTTCTAGTATAATACAATATTTGCCCTATTTTCTTAAAAGTTTTAAGCTAAATCCAAACTGCTAAAAAATTTTTTTATTTAACTGTCTTAAAACAGAGAGAACTGTTTGAAAACCAAACTATCCTTAAACTGATTCAAAATTTGTCTCAATTCTGAATTTTGATGATACTGTCTTAAAATTACTTAAAACTTGTACAACTGCCTTAAAACACAGCCTTAAATCATTGTGCAACTGTCCTAAAACATTCTTAAAACTTGTTGCTAGTATAATACAATATTTGCCGTATTGTCTTAAAAGTTTTAAGGTAAATCCAAGTCCTAAAACATTCTTAAAACTTGTTGCTAGTATAATACAATATTTGCCGTATTGTCTTAAAAGTTTTAAGGTAAATCTAATATGTCCTAAAACCTTTTTTTCTCCAACTGTCTTAAAACAGAGAGCTGTTTGAAAACCAAACTATTCTAGACCTGATTCAAAACTGTTCTTAAAAACCAACTTTCCTTATAACTATCACAATATTGCTTTTACTGTCTTAAATAGTAGCCTTAAATCATTTTACAACTGTCCTGTCCTAAAACAATCTTAAAACTTGTTAATAATATTGTCTTAAATCTTGCCTTTTAACTATTTAAAAAAATACTTAATGGTACTGTCTTAAATTATTTTACAACTGACATTTATCATTAAAATTTGCGTCGACATGGTTTGTAGGGTTCCAATGTAAATATTCCTTTTTCTTTAGGATCAAGATGACAGGCACGCATTGGTGGGGGCTCTGCACGAGCCCATGGACACCATCTTCGTGAAAAAAGTGCACCAGGGTAGTCCGGCCCAACGTGGAGGCCTTCAGTACGGAGACCGTCTCGTGGCAGTCAACCACGTGCATATCAAAGGGAAATCCTACACTCAAGTTGTGCAGCTTATTGCGAACAGCCCAGAGTACCTGCATTTGCTGGTCGTTCCCAAAGAGGACGACGTCATACAAAGAGTAAGTCCTATATAATATTTGTCTTAAACCCCTTCTAAAACATAACATAACATATCACCAAAGTTGTCCTTTTTAAGTACCTTTCTAAAACTTAGAACTGTTTCACGGTGCTGTTCTGAGAGGTGATTTTTGGACTTTCTGTGAAACCTAATTTTTTTTATATTCTTGTTAATTAGGTAATAACTAAAATTTTAAGAGTAAAATAAAAAAAAAATTGACGGTTAATTTTGTTTTAATTGGATGTTTATTAAAAATATGTATGCACACTTTCAATTCTCCAATTAAAACTTGCGATTTTATTTAAATATTATCATAACTTTTTAAATCATATTAAAGATTAGTTAATTTCCTAAAAAAAGGTCTATACATTTTTTTTATATTTTACTGTTTTGTTGTAATACACGTTTAAAGTTTTAATTTAAGGTTAAATGTCTAGTATACATTTATTAAACAATAATTCTAAGGGTGCCACATTTTATTTAGGGCCGATTTATTCATTTTTGATTTATTTGACGAATAATTTCTTTGGATACTAGATATTGCCAAGACATGAAAGTTATCGGCCCGATAAACTTTACTAAAGATGAATAAACCGGTCCTTAGTTAAATTTCATGAATTTCTTCGTAACTTTTACTACAATTTTTCATTTTTGTTTATAAAAAACACTTTAAAAAACTAAACAAAAATTATAGAATACGTATACTGAAAATGATAATTCAAACGTCAAATAAATTTTTAATAGATCTTAGTTTCATGGCAACCTTTAAGGATATATTAATTAAGGGAATATAAATGTATACGTCAAAGGTTAGATTAAAAGTTTGAACGTTTATTGCAACAAAACAGTAAAATATATAAAAAAAATTGTAAAAACCTTTTTTTAGTTATGCAAATATTAAATATTTAAATTAAATCGCTAGTTTTAATTGGATAATTGAAAGAGTGCATAATATTTTTAATAAAAAGCCAATTAAAACAATTCAAACCGTCAAATTTTTTTTATTTTGCTCTTAAAATTTTAGTTATGACCTAATTAACAAGAATATAAAAAAAATTAGGTTTCACAGAAAGTTTAAAAATCACCTCTCAGAACAGCACCGCGGTTTACTTATCTTTAACATTGTAAAAAGAGTAACACAAACTTCTTTCAGTTCTTTTCCGACACCGCGCACTGTCCGGCCAGCAATCAGCCGGCCAGCTATCCGGAATCGCCTTACGATAAGGTGACTGCGCAGAAGATTATCGCTCAGCGCATCCACCCTAACGAGTACCGCGCAGACCCTCAGTCGTGGCGCGCGTTGCAGCAGCTCAGGCAACCTTACTACCATCATCCGGAGTACGGGAATTTGGTGAGAGGGTCAAACGTGCAGCAACAGCGGAGTGCGGATAGTTTACTTTACGACTACAGGTAAAAAACAATGTTCAGCATTTATATTTTAAAAGTGAATATTTTTAATGCAATTTTTTCATCTACCATACAAATGTCTATTTTAAAATGTAAAATGCACTGTTTAATTCTTGTAATATTTGCTAAAAATATCTTGCCTTTTTAGGTCACACATAAAAACATGAAAAACTGTCTTAAATCTTAAACTAAAATTGTCCTTAAATGGCTTTAGGACTGTCTTAATCCTATTCTAAATTTTATTTGGACTGTCTGAAAATCCTATTCTTAAACTGTCAAAAATCCTTGCCCAAAACGTTCATTATTTTTTTTTTTAATGTCTTAGAACCCATCTTAAAACACGTTTGGAACCGGTCCTAACTCGTAAGATAGAATGTCCTAAATCTTCTTAAAATTTTCTCTCCAAAATATTTTTTTAAAACCGTCCTTAAAATGAGTCCTTAAGTCTTAAATCCTATTCTAAATCTGTCAAAAATGGTCTTTTCTATAAACTGTTTTTAAACTCAATAAAACTGTCTTAAATCTGAAAATTTAGTTTTAACTGTCCTTAAATTTTATTTGGACTGTCTTATATCCTTTTCTAAAACTGCCAAAACTCCTTGCCCAAAACGATCTTCATTTTTTTTAAACTGTCTTAGAACTCATCTCAAAACACGTTTAGAACCGGTCCTAAATCGTAAGATAAAATGTCTTAAAACTTTTTTTTAAAAGTGTCTTAAAACTTTCTCTCCAAAATATTTTTTTAAACCCTCCCTAAAATGGCTTTAGGACTGTCTTAAATCCTTTTCTACAACTGTCAAAATTCGTCTTTTCTATCAACTCATTAAAATTATCTTAAAACTTTAGTTTTATCTGTTCTTAAATTTAATTTGGACTGTCTCAAATTCTTTTTTAAATTTGTCAAAAATTCTTGCCCAAAACGTTCTTCATTTTTGTTTAAATTGTCTTAGAACCCCGTTTAGAACCGGCCCTAAATCGTAGGATAAAATGTCCTAAATCTTCTTTTAAAAGTGCCTTAAAACTTTCTCTCCAAAATATTTTTTTTAAACCGTCCTTAAAATGGCTTTAGGATTGTCTTAAATCCTATTCTAAAACCGTCAAAAATCGTCTTGTCTATAAACTCATTAAAATTGTGTTGAATCTGAAAATTTAGTTTTAACTGTCCTTAAATTTTATTTGGGCTGTCTTAGATCTCATTCTAAAACTGTCAAAAATTTTTGTCCATTTTTTTTTAAACTGTCTTAGAACCCATCTTAAAACACGTTTAGAACCGGTCCTAAATAAATATTTTTTTAAGTCCTCCCTAAAATTGCTTTAGGACTGTCTTAAATCCTTCTCTAAAACTGTCAAAAATCGTCTTTTCTATAAACTCATTAAAATTGTCTTGAATCTGAAACTTTAGTTTTAGCTGTTCTTAAATTGAGTTTTGACTGTCTTAAATCCTATTCTAAAACTGTCAAAAATCCTTGCCCAAAACGTTCTTAATTTTTTTTACACTGTCCTAGAACTCATCTCAAAACATGTTTAGAACCGGTCCTAAATCGTAAGATAAAATGTCTTAAAACTTCTTTTTAAAAGTGTCTTAAAACTTTCTCTCCAAAATATTTTTTAAACCCTCCCTAAAATGGCTTTAGGACTGTCTTAAATCCTTCTCTAAAACTGTCAAAAATCGTTTTTTCTATAAACTCATTAAACTTTAGTTTTAGCTGTTCTTAAATTTAATTTGGACTGTCTCAAATTCTATTTTAAAATTGTCAGCAATTCTTGCCCAAAACGTTCTTCATTTTTGTTTAAAATGTCTTAGAACCCATCTCATAACATAAATCTTAGGATAAAATGTCCTAAATCTTCTTTTAAAAGTGCCTTAAAACCTTATCTCCAAAATATTTTTTTTAAACCGTCCTTAAAATGGCTTTAGGATTGTCTTAAATCCTATTCTAAAACCGTCAAAAATCGTCTTGTTTATAAACTCATTAAAATTGTGTTGAATCTGAAAATTTAGTTTTAACTGTCCTTAAATTTTATTTGGGCTGTCTTAGATCTCATTCTAAAACTGTCAAAAATTCTTGCCCATTTTTTTTAAACTGTCTTAGAACCCATCTTAAAACACGTTTAGACCGGTCCTAAATCGTAAGATAAAATGTCTTAAATCTTCTTTAAAAAATTGTCTTAAAACTTTCTCTTCAAAATATTTTTTTAAACCCTCCCTAAAATGGCTTTAGGACTGTCTTAAATACTTTTCTAAAACTGAAAAATCGTCTTTTCTATCAATTCATTAAAATTGTCTTAAAACTTTAGTTTTAGCTGTTCTTAAATTTAATTTGGACTGTCTCAAATTCTATTTTAAAATTGTCAAAAATTCTTGCCCAAAATGTTCTTCATTTTTGTTTAAAATGTCTTAGAACCCATCTCATAACACGTTTAGAACCGGTCCTAAATCGTAGGATAAGATGTCCTAAATCTTCTTTTAAAAGTGCCTTAAAACTTTCTTTCCAAAATATCTTTTTTAAACCGTCCTTAAAAAGGCTTTAGGATTGTCTTAAATCCTATTCTAAAACCGTCAAAAATCGTCTTGTCTATAAACTCATTAAAATTGTTTTGAATCTGAAAATTTAGTTTTAACTGTCCTTACATTTTATTTGGGCTGTCTTAGATCTCATTCCAAAACTGTCAAAAATTCTTGTCCATTTTTTTTAAACTGTCTTAGAACCCATCTTAAAACACGTTTAGAACCGGTCCTAAATCGTAAGATAAAAACTTCTTTTTAAAAGTGTCTTAAAACTTTCTTTCCAAAATATTTTTTTAACCCTCCCTAAAATGGCTTTAGGATTGTCTTAAATCCTTCTCTAAAACTGACAAAAATCGTATTTTCTATAAACTCATTAAAATTGTCTTGAATCTGAAACTTAAGTTTTAGCTGTTTTTAAATTTAATTTGGGCTGTCTCAAATTCTATTTTAAAATAGTCAGCAATTCTTGCCCAAAACGTTCTTAATTTTTGTTTAAAATGTCTTAGAACCCATCTCATAACACGTTTAGAACCTGTCCTAAATCGTAGGATAAAATGTCCTAAATCTTCTTTTAAAAGTGTTTTAAAACTCCAAAATATTTTTTTTAAACCCTCCTTAAAATGGCTTTAGGATTGTCTTAAATCCTATTCTAAAACCGTCAAAAATCGTCTTGTCTATAAACTCATTAAAATTGGTTTGAATCTGAAAATTTAGTTTTAACTGTCCTTAAATTTTATTTGGGCTGTCTTAGATCTCATTCTAAAACTGTCAAAAATTGTTGCCCAAAACGTTCTTCATTTTTGTTTAAAATGTCTTAGAACCCATCTCATAACATAAATCTTAGGATAAAATGTCCTAAATCTTCTTTCAAAAGTGCCTTAAAACTTTATCTCCAAAATATTTTTTTAAAACCGTCCTTAAAATGGCTTTAGGACTGTCTTAAATCCTATTCTAAAAACGTCTTATATATAAACTCATTAAAACTGTCTTAAAACTGAAAATTTAGTTTTAACTGTCCCAAACTTCTTTTAAAAGTGTCTTCAGATTTTCTCTCCAAAATACTTTTTTAAAAATGTGCTTTAGAACTGTCTGTGAAATGTTTTGAAAAATGTTCAAAATTTGTCTTAAATCCTGTTCTAAAACTATCTAAAATATTTTCCCAAAACTATTTTAAATTCGGTTCTAAAGCTACAGTTTAAAAACGAGCTTCTTTGTAGATCTCGAATTCCGGCGTCGCATCAACAGGGAATCTACGAGGAAATCCATCCCCATGAGGTCGTTCAGCGGCAACAGCAGCAGCACTCCAAAGCGCAGCCGCAGGTGCCGTTGTACCGTAAGATGGGCCGTCGCGCCAGCGAAGGAAACGCACTGGAAGACGACGCAGCAGCGCCCGCGCAATACTACTACGACGAGCAGCCCGTCTACGCCGGTCTGAACCGGGCCGACATGAAGGCCGCCTACAAGTCCGCTTACATGCCGGAAGCCTCGCAAATGGCCGGGGGGTGCCGGTTGAGCATGGAGGTGGGCAGGAGGGAGTCGACGTCCTCCCTGGCTTCGTCGTCGTCCACCCTCACGGGGCACGAAACGGACGACTCGAAGATCATCGAGAGAATACGCAACAGCTTTCAGCAGAAGGAGAAGTTCCTCAGGGCGCCGTTCGGCATCGCCGAGCGCGGCCTCGTGCAGCGGGAGTTCTACGGCAGGCCCAAGAAGTTGGAGAAGACTCAGTGGCCGCCGGCGGAGGAATCGCCCACGAGGACCACCAACAAACCCAATCATCAGAACTTCGTGCGGGTGAAAAACGACATCGAGAACGAACGAGATTTACAGCAACCGTCGATGCAAAACGCCGGGGGCATGGCGAACGATTTGACCCCCCGCCAAAAAGGGGTCAAATCACCCAACGACAAGAATTACAGAGACAATCTGGACAGGATACAGGAAGCGTCTGTAGCTCCATCTGGATATGACAATATAGAAAATATTAATGGATCGCAGTCTGCAGATGATGATAGAGGGTAAATATAACATTTAAATATTATAAAAAAATTGTTAAGAATTAAAGCTGTCCTAAAACATGTCCTATATTTCCTAAATAACATTATATCGTCCCTAAAGATTTCTTAAAACCTGCTGGCTCAAATTTGTTTTTAAATTGCCCTAAATCCTTCCTAAACCTAACTCTCTTAAGTGTCTTAATTCCCTACCTAATTTTTCTAAAACATGTCTTAAATCGGCCTTGAGTCTATATACACGTCCTTAATTTACTATAAAACTATCTTAAATTGTCTTAAATTTGCGAAAGAACTGTCAGATATGTGCTAAACGTGTCCTAATTTCCTTTATAATTGTCCTAAAACATGTCTTTAATTTATCATAAAAGTATCCTAAATTGTCCAAAATTTGAAAAATAACTGTCAGATAACCTGCTTTGGAACTTTTCGAAATATTTGCTAAAGCGTCCTAAATTTTCTACAGAATTGTCCTTAATTTGTTAAAAAAACTGTCTCCTTTAAAATTGCCCTAAATCCTCCCTAAACCTGGCTCTCTTAAGTATGTGCTAAAAGTGTCTTAATTCCCTTAATAATTGTCCTAAAGCATCTCAAATCGGCCTTAAATCTATATTAAAACACGTTCTTAATTTACCATAGAACTATACTAAATTTTCTTAAATTTGCGAAAGAACTGTCAGATAACCTGCTTTGGATCCTTTTTAAATATTTATTTCTAGAGAATTGTCCTTAATTTGTTAAAGAAGCTCTTTTCTAAAATTGTCCCAAATCCTTGTTAACCTCTGTGCTAAAAGTGTCCTAAGTTTCTACCCAATTGTCCTAAAACATGTCTTAAATCGACTTTAAATCGGTTTTAAAACACGTCCTTAATTTACTATGAAACTCTCCTAAATTGTCTTAAATTTGCGAAAATTTGCAAAAGATGATCTGCTTTGGAACTTTTCTAAATATGTGCTAAAGCGTCCTAAATTTTCTAGAAAATTGTCCTTAATTTCTTGAAGAAACTGTATCTTTTAAAATTGCTTCAAATTATCCCTAAACCGGGATCTCTTAAGTGTCTGCTAAAACATGTCTTAATTCCCTACATAATTGTCCTAAAACATGTCTTAAATCGGCTTTAAATCTATATTAAAACACGTCCTTAATTTACCATAGAATAGTATTAAATTCTCCAAAATTTGCGAAAGAACTGTCATATAACATGCTTCCAACTTTCTAAATATTTGCTAAAGCGTCATAAATTGTCTATAGAATTGTCCTTAATTTGGTAAAAAAACTCTCTCTTCTAAAGTTTCCCTAAATCCTCCCTAAACCTGGCTCTCTTAAGTATGTGCTAAAACTGTCTTAATTTCCTTAATAATTGTCCTAAATCATGTCTTAAACCAGCCTTAAATCTAACACGTCCTAAATTGTCCAAAATTTGGGGAAATTGTCAGATAACCTACTTTTGAACCTTTCTAAATATGTGCTAAAGCGCCCTAAATTTTCTACAGAATTGTCCTTAATTTGTTAAAGAAGCTGTCTCTTTTAAAATTGCCCTAAATCATTCCTAAACCTGACTCTTAAGTATGTGCTATAACTGTGTATTCCTTTACTCGGCCTTGAGTGTTTTAAAACACGTCCATAATTTACTATAAAACCATCCTTACTTGTTTTAAATTTTTAAAAGAACTGTCACATATTTGTCCTAAAACATGTCTTCAATCGGCCTTAAATCTGTTTATAATACGTCCTTAATTTACTATAAAACTATCCTAAATTGTCTTAAATTTGCGAAAGAACTGTCAGATAACCTGTTTTGAAACCAGAATTGTCTTTAATTTGTTAAAGAAGCTCTCTTTCGACTTAAGTATGTGCTAAAAAGTCTTAATTCCCTAAGAACTTTCAGATGACTTGTTTTGGAACCTCTAGAGAATTGTCCTCCTTAACTTGTTAAAAAATTGTCTTAAATAAATGCTAAAAATTACTAAAATTTCCTGGAGAATTTGCTAAAGAACTTTCATGACCTGTCCAAACCTTGCTAAAAATGTAACATTTTAATTCGTCCAAAAAGGTGTTTAAAAATTTACCATAGATTTGTCCCTGCCTTAACACGCGTTAAAACGGCCCTATTTGTAGGTTGTACCCGCACATCGTGCACAAGCGTACGCGCGACTTCGAGAGCGGCAAGCCTCTGCCCGACGACGACCCCATGAGCAACCGCATCGACTTCATGCGCAACGAGCTGGCCCGGATCAGCTCGAAGAAGCTCGTGCCGAACGTGAACGAGCGCGCGCAGGAGTACGAGGTTCGCGCGGTGGAGCCCCGAAGGGACAACAGCGGCACCTCAACCAACTCCGGCAGCACCGTGCACAGCAGGAAGGTCAACAGGGACGCCAGGTCGCTGGACAGCTCAGGTAAGGTTCCGAAGCGCGGTGCTGTTCTGAGAGGTGATTTCTGGACTTTCTGTGAAACCTAATTTTTTTTATATTCTTGTTAATTAGGTCATAACTTAAATTTTAAGAGCAAAATAAAAATAATTTGACGGTTAATTTTGTTTTAATTGGATGTTTATTAAAAATATGTATGCACACTTTTAATTCTCCAATTAAAACTTGCGATTTAATTTAAATATCATAACTTTTTAAATCAGATTAAAGATTAGTTAATTTCCTAAAAAAAGGTCTATACATTTTTTATATCTTTTACTGTTTTGTTGTAATACACGTTTAAAGTTTTAATTTAAGGTTAAATGTATAGTATACATTTATTAAACAATAATTCTAAGGGTGCCACATTTTATTTAGGGCCGATTTATTCATTTTTGATTTATTTGACAAATAATTTCTTTGGATACTAGATATTGCCAAGACATGAAAGTTATCGGCCCGATAAACTTTACTAAAGATGAATAAACCGGTCCTTAGTTAAATTTCATGAATTTCTTCGTAACTTTTACTACAATTTTTCATTTTTGTTTATAAAAAACACTTTAAAAAACTAAACACAAATTATGGAATACGTATAGTGAAAATGACAATTCAAACGTCAAATAAATTTGTAATAGATCTAAGTTTCATGGCAACCTTTAAGGATATATTAATTAAGGGAACATAAATGTATACGTCAAAGGTTAGATTAAAAGTTTGAACGTTTATTGCAACAAAACAGTAAAATATATAAAAAAAAATGTAAAAACCTTTTTTTTAGTTATGCAAATATTAAATATTTAAATTAAATCGCTAGTTTTAATTGGATAATTGAAAGAGTGCATAATATTTTTAATAAACAGCCAATTAAAACAATTCAAACCGTCAAATTTTTTTTATTTTGCTCTTAAAATTTTAGTTATGACCTAATTAACAATATAAAAAAAATTAGGTTTCACAGAAAGTCCAAAAATCACCTCTCAGAACAGCACCGTGAAAGGTTTTTAACACCTTTTATTACGATTCGTTTTCTTTGAAATATTAGGCAGCAATACGAGCAGTAGCAGTATTCACGACGATCTGAGCGTTCAAAACTCGGGCGGCGGTAAAAAGCTTAGCGGAAATGTAATTATTTCCAGCGGAAGCAAGTATATACACTGCCCACCGCCTTCGGAACAAGGCAAATCACCCGCAGGTTAGACGGACTAAGTTTATTTTTGAAAAGAAACAAAAAAAACATTTACCTCTTTAAAATTATTTACCGCAAGGTATTATTGATAAAAAGTGCTTCCTTTTCAAATAAACAATTTGTCCTTTGGGTTGTCTATCTTCTAACGATTGTTTGTGATGTAGCGTATTTTATTATACTAATAATTATGCCATTAGAATGTTTGTTATTAATTAAAATTTAGAACTTAATGTCCTTAAAACGTACACAATGTGATCCTTATTCCCTTATGCCCCAAAACTTCTATAGTTTTTTTTAATCGGTTACTCTTCATTATAATTACATTTACAAACTACATTTACAGTGTCTTAAATCAGTCTTAAAATTGCCTTTCACAAAATGTGTCTTAAATTTTTAAAATCTGTTCTAAAATTATTTTGACAAAATTCGTTTGTATTTACTTTATCTAAAAGTGTCTTTAAAGATATCCAGATTTAGAACCAATTTATGACCTAAACCCTAAATCATTTTTTTAATTCTGTTAAGGTAGTTGTCGTGCTGTAAGCAAACCATCAGAAAATTTTAAATTTTTGTATACTTATTAAGGACATGCATGTCCTTAATAAGTATACAAAAATTTAAAATTTTCTGATGGTCTTCTGTCATGACAATATAATTATCCTTAAAAGTCGATTGACTGTCTATAACCCGAGATAAATTTAATTAAAAATTGGATAATTAACATGGATTGTATACGCTTTCTGTAGTTCTGTACCACTTTCTTAGTTATAAAAAAAAACTAACTGTCAGAAGCTTTCAAAAAACTAACAGTCTTTAAATGTATTTTTGCTGAGTTAAAAAAAAAATAATTAAAAATTTTTGACCGTCCAATTGTTTATAAATAACCGTTTAAAGTTCAACAATTTGTAAAAAGTATACATCACCAGTGTCAGATAAAAACAACTTGGCAACGCTGTACGCGAGTATAGATATTATTTCCGCAGTAAATTCAAACGGACTGATTTAGTCTCCAATATATCTATTGGTTGAGCATAAGCGACGTTGCCGGAATAAAACTTATGAAAATATTTGAAAGTATTACGTAAAGGTAACGTCTCCAGGGTACACTCTTGCGAACAAATTATGAATCACTTAGCTACAAGCTCGTATACTTTTACGGTGCGTATAACCTAAAAATTTTTGACATTATTGTACCACGACAACTACCTTAATGTTAAAATTAAGAGCTCAAATTAAGATTATTTTTTTTAACAGAAATTTTGAAAATCATTGAATCATGTCTTAAATACATTCCCATTGTTTTTTAAACATGGCCTTAACTCTCCTTCAATTTGCCTTGCGTCTTAAACCAGTGCTAAAACTGTTTTAAACTGTGTTTTAACAGTTTTAAAGTATGTTACAAAATTGCTTTAAAACTTGTGCCAAAACTTAAGATTTTCTAAATCCGTTTTTAAAACTGTTTTATATATAAAGATTTTTTTAAAACCTGTTTTAAATCATCTTTAAAATTGTTCTGAAATGTCTTAAAACTACCGTTGAGTGAAGTAATCAATGCTAATACCGTAATTTTGAAACAAGTTTGTCTTAAAACCTTCGAAGCTATCTTTAAATCTTAATCTTAAAATTGCCTTAAAACCTGTACCTAATTCTCTAAAACCTATTTTAAAACAGTCATAAAATCGTTTTAAAACTGTTTTTTAATTGTCTTAAATCTCTCTTGAAATTGACTTTTTAATTAATAATCTCAGAAGTGTAAACTACACTAAAAACCTGACTCAAAACTTATATATTGTAATTATCTATAATATTGTACTTTTTTATTGTAAAACGTCTTAAACTAAGTTGTCTTAAATCGGTCTTATTTTAAAACAGTCTTAAATTTTGCCCTAAACTGCATTCCCAGTGTCTTAAATCAGTCTTAAAATTGCTTTTCACAAAATATGTCTTAAATTTTGCCCTAAACCACATTTACACTGCCTTAAAATCTGTTTTAAAATTGTTTGACAATATTTGTTTGTATTTGCTTTATCTAAAAGTGTCTTTAAAGATATTCAAATCTAAGGCAACTTTGGAACAAATTTTGCCCTAAACCCTAAATGACTTTTTTCAAAATCCATTTAAAAACACAAAAAGATGTAATCTTCTAACCATTGTTTGCGATGTTTTAATTTAAAAACTTATCCCACTTATCCTTGCGTTATTTATTCCATGTAACCGTTAGCCTAACTTATTAATCATTGTAATCCATTTGGCAAAAATCCCGTCCACGCTTAGTCGTCGTTATTCTAATTAGAAAAGCGATCGAGTCGAGTTGAAGAAGAATTTTAATGCGCCATCGATGCACTCCGTTAATAACAGCGACGAAACACCTGAGAAGAATCGAAGCCACCCACGCGAAAATATAGCAACATTTTGAATCGATGCTGCATTTAATTGTTACGCCCATGTCTAACAAGAACAGTCATTAATTTTAGTAAATAAGATTTTTGACTTTGCGCTTTACATTTCCGGATAAATATTTTATTTATCAACGGACATTAATTAATAGTGTTGATTTGCTTGGGTTCTAATATTTGTTTGTATTTTTAGTGTTAAACATTGTATTGTGCTAATAACAAGTATAAATTAACATGTAACGTACGTCTTTCCAAAAATAATAGCTATGTTTGTAGTTTAACATTCTGAATTGTATTTCCGAAAAAAATGAAAAAACAAAAACATTTTTTTCAGACATATCAGGATACGAGTTAATTAATAAGCAGCGTGCTCGGTCCAATTCTGCGGAATCGTGGGTGGCCGCTTTAGGGGGCGACGATCGCGCCCCCAAGCGGGAATCGAAGCGAATCAGTCGACAAGATGCGATGACTGCTGCAGATAGAAACAAACAAGGTAATATAAAAACAATCTTGTTTCATAATACAATAAATCATTTGATTTAATTTTTTTAAAGGTACATTCTACATTAAAAAAATAAAAATATGGAAATAAAAAGGTTTAAATTTAATCATTAATGAATTCTTCTAAGATTTTCGCAAAAATTACTATTAAACTGTCCCAAAAACGTCTTATAACCTTATAAATCATCCTCAAAATTGTTCCAAAACTGGACTAATACAATATTTAAACTGGTTTAAAAGTTTGACCCTAACAGTATTTTAAAAACAATGGTTTTGAAACTGTCCTAAAGTTATCATGTAATATGTAAGTTTGTCTTAAAACCTATTTAAATCATCTTAAAAATTGTTCTGAAACTTGGTCTAATTCAATATTTAAACTGGTTTAAAACTTTGACCCTAACAGTATTTTAAAAACAATGGTTTTGAAACAGTCCTAAAATAATCATGTTCTATGTAAGTTTGTCTTAAAACCTATTTAAATCATCTTAAAAAATTGTACCCCTACTTTTCTGTATACTTTTTCTGCAAATAAGCTATTATTATTATTATGTAGATCAAATTCTGCGTTTTGAAAGATAGCTCCTTAAAATCTTTCCTTTTAAGTTTTTCTAAAAACAATTAGGAGTAAATAAAATTATTTCCATATTTTTTTTGTAGAATGTCGAGGAATAAGCCTGGCTCAAGATTTTCACTTAAAATAAGAAAAAACTCATAATTAAGGCCGTAAATTGTTTGCGCGTAGATATATTTTGAAATTTGAATAATTTTTTTTTTGCGGAGATATAGCCTAGAGATTTAATATTAACTTTTTATAATAATTATTATTATTATAATCTGTTTGATAACCAAAAAATAGATACAATGTTAAATATTATAAGAAGTTTTTATTTAATCTTTAGATTGGCTAAAAAACCTTTAAAACTAGTTAAACTTCACTGGACCTGGTAAACATTTTAATATTCGAATATTTAAAAATTCGATTATTACAATATTCCAATATGTACTCGATATTCGAATAGTCGAGTAGGTACACGAATATTCGAATTATTCACAGAGAAAAGTAATCTCTTGATTTAACTATATTTGGCTTGGCTCAAATAAATTATTTATTTCGATATCTACAAGAAGATATTTATTTAGTGGAAAACTTTGGATTCTTTGACTTTTTAAACTGATATTTGGTTAATACAAGTAAATATCTAGTTGACTTTTTATCTCAGGCTTAGTAGAAGCTTACTTAAAGAAACAAAACCTACATCCAAACAATTTAATTAATTGCTCTAAATAAATATTTCTTTACAATTAATCACAACAATAAATTGTGATTTACAACCAAATAATAGTATTTTCTTATTGTAAACAACAAGTTACCACGAATAAGAAAATTTTAATCCATACAAGAAAACCTGTTTCAAATAAATGCATTTTCTTAAATCAAGAGATTACTTTCTCTGTGGAGTATTCGAATTTCTGAAACTAAAAAATTTCCAGCCTTGGTTTTGAATGCATACTTTTCACGGCCTTACTCATAATCTTTAGAGTGGAGCTTATCATCTCAAAACTTTTTAGGTATAAAATAAAATAAAATTCCCTCCAAAGCGCAGCTTAATATCTCAATTCTCCACTAAGCTCAATGAATTTTTATTTTCCCATTTAAATAACACGTAAAAATTTTTTTTTTCCTTTTTATCCGGTAAAACGAGGAAAAATTTCTTTTCTTTTAAATATCTTCAAAAAGTTGCTTTGAAACGATCTTCCTTCAAATTTACTAAGTAGCAAGTATTTGAAGCTTAATAACTTTTTACCCGTTTGGATTACGAAAAAACTACTTCATGACTTTTTTGTAGAAAATTAAATTTTCTACAAGAATCATTGATGAGAAATTAAAAAAAAAAATCTAGAGTTTTTTACGTGATATTTAAATGGGAAAATAAAAATTCATTGAGCTTAGTGGAGAATTGAGATATTTAGCTGCGCTTTGGAGGGATTTTTTTTATACCTAAAAGAAGGTTTTGAGATGATCAGCAAAAAAAAAAATTTTTTTTCGACCACTCTAGTATTCTTCTAAAAAAAACTATTAAAAAATCGCACCAAGCACAAAAAACTGTATTTCTTGTTAGCCGTCTCGCCTAATCTGTCGCCGCAACCCCTGTACGCCGATTTGCCGCCCCTGATACCCGAGCCGGTCGAGCGCCTGTTCTTGGCGCCCGCCGTCTCGATAACGCCCGCCCCCCCGTCCAAGCCCGTCGGACCGAACCAGTTGGATCTGGAAGTGGGCGGCGACGGCGGGCCGGTGCGCCCTCTGCGCCACCTTAAGGCGCCGCCGCACGCGAACCAAGACAGCCCGCTGGGGCGCCAGCCTTCGCCAGGTATATAAGATAACACCGACTGCGCCGTGGTTGTGGTTTTTCTAACACTAACAGAACGTCGAGGATTTTGTTGGGAAATTCGTTCATATAGTCAAATGAGACTTAACTATACAATAAAATGACAAACATAACAATGGGGTAGTTAAATTTTTTCTGACCTATACTTTTTATGGCGTTTTTTAATATTAAACATTTCTGTGAAATCAGAATTTCAATTGAGTTTACCGTTTTCGAGATATTTACAAAAAATATAAATTTTTATGACGTCACAAACCTCGCCATGTGACCATCATTCTAAGATTTCTATTGGTTGAAAATTACCCTGTTGTCAAGTTCTCTTGTTAATGATTTCATTCGGTTATGTCAGAAAATACCCGAAGAGGTTATGTACAAATACTGTCACTGTCAGTTGAGTGAAAGATGGTCACCAAATTCATTAAGTACCTATCTTCCTTATTACGAGGTATCATATTACTGTTTGATATTTTAGAGTCCAAGATATATCTAAAAGAATATAAAGAACTAGGCATTATACTAATGAAATGCATTTACGACAAAATATGATTATAATTATAGGTACTTACTTTATTTGTTTAAAAGCTCCAATGTTCAATGTAACCAACCATTCCAAAAGATTCCTCTGCTTTGGAGTCCGTTATTAATAAATCACTTATCTAATATCAATCACAAATAACATAACAATAACATTGATTTTCAATAATCTAAATTTAAAAAAACATAACCCGAAGAAGTCAAAAAATCAATTCTTCTTCTTCTTCTCAAGTAAAATTATAGATCAAGTGGTTTTAAAACTAAAATATAACGTGGTGCCATCTATCGAAAGAATCTTAAACTAAACACACTGGCAACCATAGAAAAAGCTGGCAACGTTGTCAATAGCCTAGTGACGTAATTAGGAGATTTTCTTTTGTAAATATCTCGAAAACGGTAAATTCAATTGAAATTCCGATTTCACAGAAATGTTTAAAATTACAAAACGCCTTGAATAAAACCATAAAAAGTATAGGTTAGAAAAAATTTAACTACCCCATTCAAAAACATCAAAAGAATGAAACTAACTTCTATAACATAACATATTATAACGCTTTGCATCTTCTACTACCACTTTACTTTAAACACATAATTCAACAAATTCGCTAATTTTTCCTTCTTCTCCATTTATTTTGCAGTTTGGGATGATAAACCCATTGTGGTTAGGCGAAGGTCTAAAAATACTAATATAGGTAAGTATCTAACTTCTTTAACCTCACGATCATTTTTTTGGACTATTTGGCTTTTTAACAACTTACAAAAATTAACTGTCAAAATTTCAAAATTTAGTTACCATAACCACGCCAAATCGACCACCTTAGTTTTTTTAATCTTTTTCCACCATCTCTTAAAAAAATTGTCAGAATTTGTTTTTAAATTCGATGTCAAATTCTATAAATTTTTTTAGTTTTTTCAGATTTTTGAGTAAAGTTCTCCATTATTATTTTTTTTCATTAAATTCTCGATTCTACGATAAATTCTGCTAAATTGATTTTATTGTGAAAATAAAGTTTTTATAAGGAAATAAATAAACGATTGGGAAAAAAAAATTCAATAAAAAAAATAGAAAAAAAGTTGGCAAAATAAATCAAACCTTTTTATAAAAAATAAAATAAAAAATGGCGAAATTAAGGACTTTTTTATAAAAAAATTATAGACCTTGACTCATTCTGAAAGTACATTCAAAATTAAAAAAAAGCCCCGTTTAGTCAATTTTTAAAAAAGTTATGGTATTTGAAAAAAGAACCATTTTTTTGAAAAATTTTAACTTTGGTTGGGTAAAATTTTTTAAAAAATTCTGAGAAACATTTTTAGTGTGGTAGAAAAATATAAATAAATTCTGCCAAATCGGCAAAAAGTGTCAATTTGGCGTGTTTAAAGTACGAAAAATTACCGATTTTGGATTATTCCAATTATTAAACAGTTTTATGTTTTATTATTAAAGGTATTGATAGTTATTTATGTCACAAGGCTGAGAAGTAAGTATTTTTGTGCTGAGCTTAAAGTTTAAATGCCGAAACGTAGCGAAGGCGTACAATTGAGCGAAGCAAAAAAACACGTGCCTTAGCACAATAGCGCGTTTTTTAAATAAAGACTCGTGATTTTATTCAATTATTTTTCATTCAACATTTATTATTTTTAAAACCTAAAAATTTAAAAATGTCTACCTTAATTTAAGTCTTTTTTTCGATCCGTCCCAATGTGCTGTCGCCGCTGCAAATTATCCCCACTCTTGCAAGGCGTTCGAATGCGCTCGGCACTATACTTTAAGCGTAAAACAAACAAATTATACCAAAACAAAATCTTAATAAAATATAAAACTGTTTCTATAACTTTAATTTAATTTAATGAAATATAACATGATGTGTATTTTTTATAGCTGATGATGAACGTGTAACTCGTAGAGAATCTTATCTTAAGGCTACAGAGGGCGGAAGAGTGGATTTCCGCATAGAACACAGCGATGGGGATGTTTCTCCTCAACAATTAAGAAGGTAAATGTTTTTTGCATCTTTTTTTCTTCAAAAAATATAATTATTTTGGAATGTTTTGCTGGGGTAGCACAAAGCTTATGGTACTTTTTCTGGGGCAAAACACAAATTATTATTATTCGTAGGCAAATCGAAGTTTCACTAGTGAAATTGATTTTTGTCTAGCAAGGTAGTTGTTTTCTTTTTCAAATGGCATAAAAAGCAACACCAAAACCGAAAATTGTTTTTCTCTTAGCAACCATAGACGGTACAGACGTCCTTACTTCACCAGCGATATCCACCAACTTTGCAAGCTGTTTGAGGACGCTTCCGCGTTCTCATCTCGGTGAGCTGGAACAAAATTTTCCCCGCTTTTCCTCTGAAAATAAAATAAAAATATTAAAAAATGCCTCCAACATACTAAAACATTGCGACTAACCCCTAACTTTAATTCAAGTGTTTTTATAAACAAATCTCTTGAATTTTCTGCTAGATGCTAAATTTATGATTTACTATGAAATGCTTGTATTTTAGATATTTTCTAATTAATTAACCAATATTAATAATATATTAGGCACCCTTTACTCCCATAAAATACACAGTTTTTTAAACTTCCAATACATTAAATAATGAGAAATTGTAAATTTCGAGAAAGTGAGGTTAGAACTGTCTGACAGATGTCAGATTTTTGGTATTATTTTTGAGCGGCAGAAAAAGTAATTTAGTCATGGCAATGAATATCAAAATTTTATTGACGTTTGAAAAAAATCAAGTTTATTTTTTAAGTTTCGTTTACTGCCGTCTTAAACCAATTTTCTTGTTAAAGAATCTAACCCATTACAACGGTGTAAAATTAAATCGGTGAGATCAAGAACAAGCCCAAAATTTATTTATCTTATAAAATCATTTTTTAGTTTAAAATGCATTTTTTGAGAATATTTTAACTATTTTATAAAATATAATATACCTAGTTATTTTCCCAAGTTAGATAACAATGATTATTAAATTAATTGTTATTAATGTTTATTACGGAACAATTATTAATATTTTCTAAATTAATTGTTGAACAGGTTAATTCATTCAACAGGTGACTTGTACTATTTAATAAACTTTGGGTTAACTCAGAAGAGCCGTTTTTTATGTCCAATATTTTATTTGATAATTTTTTTTTGGGTCATGGATTTCCAGCCCCCAAGTCGCTTAACATTGGAAATTCCTTCTTCAGAATCGGCTAATATGGTAGCGGAGGATCTACGAAAACTATGACCGGTACCAAATGTATTCATTCCTACACATTGGGTAGTGCATGCTCTTCTTTTATAATTGACAAAAAACCGCTTGTGTGAGGTATTTGGTTTTCGAAAATTTGAATATTTTCGGAACAGTTGTAAGTAATGACCATTATTGATTTCATCAGATATCACAAAGATTCTTGATTTGTAATTTTTACTGTCCGAAATTTTCACGATTACCAAATTTTCTTTATCTTCTATATCATCAATCATTATCTTTGAGAGCTCTTGTCGCCTACAAGCACCTTGCAACCCAAAAATAGTGGCAACTTTTATTAAAAGGTAAATTTCATCTGGTGCTTCTTTAATGAATCTTGAAATGTCATCTTTCGTTATCTCACATTTTCCTTTTTTATATATGATGTTGATTTATAATATAGACTCAAATCCAAATTTTTATTAACTTTTAGGAGACTTTTTAACATGGAGTACTTACTCCACAAAGTATTTGGCTGATATGATTTTCCTATATCCGCAAAATAGGCCAGAAACACTTCTTCCTTAAAACTTTTTGTCCCTTTGTTGTTGCACCAGTTTTCAAAATGTTTAAATTGTTTCACATATTTTTGACAGGATTTCGCTGGTAATAAATTCTTATTTACAGTATTTGCTGCCTCTAGTATGTCATATGGTAGATCTTAGTGTTGGGAAAAACCGATAATTTTAATAATCGAGTACTCGATACTCGAGCGATTTCAATAATCGAGCGATCGCCCGAGCGATTTATCACTCGAAATTTCAATTCAATTAATGAATGCATTCATACTCGGGGAGATCGCTTGCAGCTTGCATCACTCGCAATAATCCGAGCAATTTTTCACTTACGTTTAGGTCACCTAAATTAGGTGTCATGTGATTCGCGGCTCGTTAATGAAACAAGAGACAAGCGATGGATATCGCCGATTTACTTTTTAATAATTGTAAACATAATTGACAAAAAATCTAACTTTTTAAACTAAAGTGCAATTTTAACCAAATAAAAATTTTATTATAAAATATAAATTACAGAAACCTGTATATCAAAATATACCTAATTCGGTGCTCGGTAGATTTTAAGCGAAGATTTTCGCTTGAATTTATAACTCGAGTAGTCGTTTCAATAATCGAGTGATGTCGGTTATTTCAATAATCGAGTACTCGAGCGGTTTTTCACTCGAGCGATCCCAACACTAGTAGATCTTCTTCCAAAATGTTCATTTCAATTTCGCGAAAAATCTTTTTCACGTGGAAACTAAGTAACTAACTAAATTTGATTTTGTCTAAAATCAACATATTTTGTACAATAGTTAAATCATTCTCACAAAAATGCATTTTAAACTATAAAAATTTTAAATGTTGGACTTGTATTGTTCTTGAACTCACTGATTCAATTATCTAAATTGTCTTTTAAATCTTAAAAAGTATTCTATGAGCATCTTAAAACAACATTGCCATTGTCAAGTTACATGATAGACATAAATTCCCATGCATTATACTACTATTAAGTAGATATCGTTTTTATCTGTTTGATCTTTAAAGTAAGCGCACCGTCATACTCTTTTTATTATCAATGATAGTTATACAAAAGGCGGGAAAGTTGGCGCAACTGGCACGTACTGTGCTGTACTGAAGATATTTCATAAATAAAAAGGAATAAATTTCACGCTACACGCTGTTGTGTCTCACATGTCTTTTGTTACATTTTTTTTTGACGATTTTACAAAATGATAGCCGTAAGAAACTTAAAATGTTTATTGTATTGCGTTATTAATAATTAAAAAATACTATTGGACCTATTTAAAGAACAACCAAACACTGTTTGTTTTGAATCATATTGACTTACTTTCTGGAAAAATACCGCAATAACGTAAGTACAAATTTCTCCATAAATCGGTTTCCTGTTCCCGCGTAAACAAAAATATATTGTTGTATACAGTATTAGTTTCTCTTGCGTCTATTGGCCCAGGTCGTGGATTGATAATTATACGAAAATAAATCCGAAAATTAGGACACACAAATAACGAAAGTATTACACGGGGGAAATAAAAAGTGTATTTTCGAAAATTGTTTGTTTAACCGATACACTTTCGTGTTTGGGCAACACGTGTCATAAAAATTATGCATGCAAGGAAAAACAAATAATTGTAGTGATCAGTCCAGGTGTGACCCCCATTCCGAAAAATCAGCTGCAGTTATTCGACCGTTGCAATACTATACAGGCGCTAGTATGTAATTAAAATGAGTTTTTTTATTTTACCGTTATAAAAGATTGCAATTTTGACAATGATTTTTAAAGGGGTGTACTTTTTAGTTTAATTGGCTTAAAATGTTTAATAAAAATAGTCTACAGCTACCTAAATAAAAGGTTTTTTAATGGCAACAAAAAACAGTTTTTTCAAATTTATAAAATTAAAAAATTTAACGTGTAAATAAAAGTATTGTTAATTTTAGTTCGTTAGTTTATTCTAAATAAATACACATTGCATTACTTTCACACTTTGTTTTTGTGATAAGATAAATAAATAACTAAATAAACATTGAATTTAATTGCAATGTGGCAACATCGGACAACATTATTTAAAAAAAATCTCGAAAGGCCATTTCTCAATAGCTTTATCTTTCTTAGGAAACATTTTTGGATTATATGTATTCGTAAAAATTGGTCTAAAATGGCCTTGTCCTATTATAAACCATAAATAGCTGAATAATTAAAGGCTGTCTTAAAAAGTCATATAACTGTCTCAAATGACCTAAAACTGATTCTTAAACTGGCATAGAATTTTGCTAAATTGTCTTAAAACTTGTCCTAAATCGGTATTAAAGCACCGATTAAAATATTATTTAAAAAAAATCTCAAAAGGCCATCAATAGCTTTATCTTTCTCAGGAAATATTTTTGTATTAGATGTTTTTGTACAAATTGGTCTAAAATGGCCTTGTCCTATTATAAACTATAAATGGCTGAAAAATTAGGGCTGCCTTATAATGTCATAAAACTGTCTCAAATGATTTTAACATTTTTTAAACTTATTGCCTTAAAACTTGTCCTAAATCGGTATTAAAAATGTCCTTAAACTTGTCCTAAAACTTTTTTACACTGACCTGAGAAAACTCCTTAAACCTGTTCTAAACCGTATTAAAAATATACTGGACCGTCTTTAAATTTTCTAGAAAAATCTAAAACTAATTGTCTTTAAACATCCTTTAAATTATTTATAAAGGCTTAATATGTCCCTTAAACTGCATTTAAATTGTCTGTTGGTTAAATTAATCTAGTCTAGAATATGCTTATAAATTTTCACCATGCACTTAGGAAACCCCCTGTACATTGATTTCATTAGCGACGTCGTTAATTTTGTATAGAAACAAAAATCGCTGGTGGATGAACAATAGAGCTTGTGAAATTCAAAAGGGAAAGTGAGAACAATAACTGAATTTTTACTCTTAGTTTCATTGTGCGATCAAGAGTATGTATTATCTTGATTAAGTCGCCAGATAAATTTAAAGTGATTTTTTCGAATTTATTTGCATTAGCTATGTCAATAAACTCGATGATTTTTAGAATGCAAAATTAAAGAACTCTTTCAAGTTTTTATAGTTTCTCGGTAAAATGTACCTATTTAGCTGAGTTTGTAGAACATTGAAAATCAAGATGATTTCATGGTTTTATTTAATTAATTTATTACACGGATTACATGAATTTCGTAATGAAAAATAAGGTTAATTATTAAGAGCGCACAAATTGCACAAAACATGTAAATTTAATTAACAAAACTGGTAATTAGAAACTTTTTATATCCTGCTGTATCAATAGAATAAATATTTATGTTATTTCGATTATATCAAAGATTCTGGGAAAATTTGTCGTTAAGATTTAACATAAACATAAATTAACATTTTACGACTGGCATGTTTAAAAAAAATAGGAGAGCAAGTTTGTTAATAAAAATCAAAACTGCTAAAAAATTATATTTGTGTATTAAATTATACGTGTGAAGTTATAGTATGTGGGGCCCACTAAAAGCTTGTCCGATTATAAAATTTTATTATATTTATAAATGTGCCAATCATTTTTTTCTAAAATAGATGGGATTATTTAAAAATTACTATTTTTATACCACACGGTCTACTTAAAATATAATTGGGTCTATTTTACTATTCCATCCTATACTATGCTTTTACTTTATATTATTCGTATTGCTATATTGACTAACCCCTTTTTATGTTTAAAAATAATCCAAATTAAAATATTTGCTTTATAGAAAAATTTGACATTTTTATGTTTAATTTTCAGAAGCTAAAACCATTAGGTATATTTGAATTTTTATTTACAGAACGAAAAAATCATGACATATTTTATGATTTTAATATTTTAAAATATGTTTTTACATTAATAGTATATTTGACCTAAAGGTGAATTATTTTATTAAAATTTGTCATGGGTACCTACTCTAAATTATGTCATAAAAATAACGTAATAAAGTATAAATGTCATTTTTAAATGGGTCTTTTTAGACTACATATTTTCTAAACGCACTTTTGCGGTGTAGGTTTTCTGTTTACGAGCATGACTAATCTTTCAGCTTGTACTAACTGTGCTTGCGTGTAGAGCCTTAGAGAATCTCCGTACCCAAATTTAACGTAATTAAGCAACAGTTTGTCTGGCGTTTTTAGCGGGAGCGTGAGCGAGAATAGCAGCAGCAGCGTGTCCTTGGACAGAGACAAGGTCCTCGAGAGTCCCTCCGACAAGGACCATCCTTCGCAGCAACAGCAACTTTACATCACGAGGGAGGGAAGTGTCTTGTGCAAAATACTCGAAATTGATGGAAAGGTAAGAAATAATTTTTAATAATTGCTTATTTTGTTTGTTTTTATTTCAACTTTTAACGTTTTTGTCGAAGTTATTGTTTTCATTCAATTTTTAAAAAAGTTATATTACATAATGGATTTAATTTTTCTTAAATCAGTTTTAAAGGAATTTTCAAAACATGTTTTTCATAATTAAAGGAATTTACAAAAAATGTTTTTAATAATTAAAGGAATTTACAAATAATGTTTTTGTTTGTTTTTATATCAACTTTTAACGTTTTCGTCAAAGTAATTGTTTTCATTAAATTTAAAAAAATATATTTTACATAACTAAAAATGGATTTATTTTTCTTAAAACCGTATTAAAGGAATGCACAAAAATATTTTTAATAATTAAAGGAATTTACAAAAAATGTTTTTGTTTGTTTTTATATCAGCTTTTAACGTTTTCGTCAAATTTATTGTTTTCATTCAATTTTTTAAAAGTTATTTTACATAACTAATAATAGATTTTCTTAAAACAGTTTTAAAGGAATTTACAAAAAAGGTTTTTAATAATTAAAGGAAAATGTTTTTAATAATTAAAAGAATTTACAAAAGTTGTTTTTAATAATTAAAGAAATTTTCAAAAAAAAATTGTTTTTCTATCAACTTTTAACGTTTTCGTCAAATTTATTGTTTTCATTCAATTTTTTTAAAGTTATTTTACATAGCTAATAATGGATTTTCTTAAAACGGTTTTAAAGAAATTTACAAAAAATGTTTTTAATAAATAAAGGAAATTACAAAAAAAAAATTTGTTTGTTTTTATATCAACTTTTAACGTTTTCGTCAAATTTATTGTTTTCATTAAATTTTTTAAAAGTTATTTTACATACCTAATAAATAATGGATTTTATTAAAATAGTTTTAAAGGAATTTACAAAAAATGTTTTAATAAATAAATAAATTTACAAAAATGTTTTAATAATTAAAGGAATTTACAAAAAATGTTTTTAATAATTAAAGGAATTTACAAAAAATGTCTTTGTTTGTTTTTATATCAACTTTTAACGTTTTTGTCAAAGATATTGTTTTCATTCAATTTAAAAAAATTATTTTACATAACTAATAATGGATTTATTTTTCTTAAAACAGTTTTAATGGAATTCACAAAAAATGTTTTAATAATTAAAGGAATTTACAAAAAAAGTTTTTAATAATTAAAGGAATTAACAAATTTTTTTTTTTAATAATTAAAGGAATTTACAAAAAATGTTTTTTGGGTTTACGGTGGGAAGTGGGAATTATTTTTCAAATTTTTTAATGTGTTTTTACCGTTATAAAAGGCTGCCTTTCTAAAATGTTATTTTCAATTTTTTACGAAAAAACTTAATAACTTAATAATTTACTCAGAATTCTATGTAAAATTTAAAAATGAAAAATATATGGGGTGTTCCATTTAAAAATAACAAAGTTTAGAAAAATAGACTTAAATGAATACACGCTTTTAAAATTTCAAATCGATATATTTTTCCGTTCTCCAGAAACACTAATGTGAAACACAAACAAATATTAAAAAGAATTGCTAGATTACACCCGATCAAAATTAAGGCAAAAAGTTTATATAATAAAAATTATAATCAGCCTTGTTTTTACGTTTAATAATTATTTATAGGTTATAGGATGGTCAATATTATTGTTATGAAAAGATACCTACACATTTTAACGAATATAAATTATACCTTATTTTAGCATAATTTAAAACTGTTTATCGGTACTTATTCTTAATAACAAATAGCAATTAAATTTTTATTATTTAACCGACGAAATGTGTCTCACGTAATCGAGGTTAATGCGTCCGAAATTGCATTGAACGGCAACACATTCGCCATAAATGGTCAAAAAAACGAGCTGGATTTAACGTAGCGCAAAAGTGTCGTATCGGATGAAAATTATAACAAACACTTCGAATTTTTCGAATTCCTCAAGTAAATTTAATTTGTAATTTCTTAATTTGCTCGCTTGATACTTTCAATTAAAATCAATTAAAGTGTCAATATGGAATTTAATAAGCAATAAGTAAACAAGATTTTTCGTAAATGATTTTCATGTTTTTGTTTTCGTTTTCAGCGCGCCACCGATAGGTCGTGGAAACAAGTTTGGGCCGTTCTTAAAGGACCCAGGCTGTTTCTCTACAAAGATAAACATCACCAGGTAAGATTTTTATTTATTGGTTTCACGTGCGACAACAGTTAATAAATATTATTTTTTGTCGAGTGGTTAATAATGCGCCAATTTTTTAATAAACAATATAAATAATTCATTTCTTTTGCTGTATATATTTCCATTCCCTCCCTGTTATCAGGTAAGAAATGTTCCATTACATTGTAATTGACTTTGAAGTGAGCATTTATAGAGTTTAGCTTAAATAACTTGAAGTAAGTAATCGTAACTTAATTGGAACGACTTTAGGAATGTAAACGTCATTTTTGAATTAAACGTTAATTTTTGTAATTTTGTAAAAATTAATTAATGATTAGCACCACTTGACAAAAAAGTAAACAATATACCATTAACACCATGTGCAATATACTGATTCACTTAAATTATTTAAAATAGGAAATCTCGCATACGCGAAAGATTATTGCACAAAACACTGGTTAATTTATTTTAATGAAGTAGCCCGGTAAATAAACAATCGATAAAATCCCGGTTTTAAAATTCATAGTAACCATAAAATCAGTATCAATAAACCCACATCTACTATATATTTAATTTTCAAATAAGTTCATTTACTCATATTCTTAGAAAATTCGATTTAAAATAAAAACAAGCGTATATTTGTTTATGTTGAACTCGTTTTGTAAACCTTGTATATGTTTTCTTTTAAAAATAAAAGTCCGAACATTTAGTTTCGAAAAATTTTCTTTGATTTTAATATTTTCTTCCGTAAATCTTATAAAAAAATTAGTAGTGCAGTTAACTAGATTTAACTGATAAACCTTTAAAAAATTTGCGTACAGTGCCCATAAAGCATTCTCTTCTCTTTTACTGCGAAAAACTGCTTCTATATCAATTTTTAGTCTATTTTCAGGGGATAAATTTTGATTTACACAGAATAATTGAGATTTTAACGCCGGTAGAAATTCTAGCGGGAATTCCAATAAATACAACTGTTACTTTTTCTACCTTTAACATTTCCCGTGTAAATTTTTTGTAAACATAAGGGTGATTCTAAAAAAGTTGGACAACTTGATGTCATCAGTCAATAGAGTAGGTATTTTAATATTTTTTGTAAATACTTAGTGTATTACAAAAGATCCAGGTTTTTTTAACTTGTCCATCCAATTTTAATGTATTTTTTCAAAAGCACGTTTGTAGAAAAACATAATAAATATACAAAACATCAGTACCTTGGCGTGTCACAACTCCTGAATCAAATATTTGAGTGATTTTTTTTTTAAATATATTCAATTTATCTTAAATTTTTCAATTTCATTACAAACTATAAAACATTAAATAATGTATTTTTCATATTTTATCATAGATTCGAATAATAGCAATTTTAAAAAAATTTATATTCTTTGTACTCACTTTTACCCGTCAGTTCTGTATCAGTTTAAACGTCGTCCTCGTCTTAACTCAAGTGTTGGTAAAAAATTACCTACATAGCTCGCCCTTTGCACGACAGTCATCTTGAAAACAATGCAAGCGGCGAAGTTGTGGTGAATGCACGTATAGTTCCAGTCAAAATTTCAGTACTGTGGTGAGTAGTTATTTTCTTTCGTATATATATTTCATTGTAATTTATAAAAGGCTATATGTGATTTGTTGATAAGTAGCATCCACTGATAAAAAATATCGGTAAAATAATTCCGAATTATAATCTCAAATTTGTATCCCATTCATCAGTATCGTGTCGTCAGTTCCATGTGCGATGTTTCGGTTATCTTTTTTTCGCAAACTTCAATTTAAATTTTGCTTACGCAGAACTTGTTTATTTAATGTCATTATAAACTCATATAAATTTGGTGTGGTCCCATATCTAATAATTGAGATATCGGTATACCCAAAATCAACCAGCCGCCACTGATGTGTGGTATTATTTGATTTTAAGATATTTAATTAGTACTATGGTATACTCGTCACTTCCCTTGCATTCAAATTTAGAAAACACAGATATTTCAGAAACTGTTTGAAAAAGTGACTTGCCCAGTCTGGAACAGTATATTTATTATATTATCTATGTTCTCATAACAAAATACTGTTTAATTTTCTCCGAAAACTATATAAACAAAATGAGTTCAAAAGTTGCCCAACTTTTGTAGAATTACCCATAATCATCTTTTTAAGTTATTTTAATATTTTAAAGTATCAAATATTGTTAAACTTTTCTAGGCCTAAAATGACATTTAATAAACTTGATACATAATATACTATTCATTTTTTAAAACCCTCTTTAATAAGAGCCCATTAAGTGATGTAAAAAATTGCATTTAAAAAAGTTTAAATTTATAAAAAAAATGTTTTGACCTAAAATGCAAATGTGCAAGCTTAAAAGAATCTGCGTCACATTATGGCGCTACGTTGCAAAACGCGCAATTTCGTTTTATTTAGGGTATATTAGTATATTAATTAATTAAATAATTGGCCAAGGTACATTATTAATTCATTAATCATCAAAGTTGTTGTTTTTGTTTTGGTTTCGGCTAGTACACTTTGTACCATTGCAATATACACACTTAAGTATGTCGACAAAACATTTTTTGTGATTATTTCCCTTTTCTATTTCAAACGATCCAAAAACCTATTTCAGCGTCAAATATTTCCGAAGAAATATTTTGGTTCAAAATTTTTTTGTGTACCCTCGGATTTTTCGATATATACATATGTAGAACGAAAAAGTGAAAGATAAAGGAGAAAGTGCAATAAATATTTAAACGTTGCTTTGTCAAATTTGTTTTAACTGAGCGAAAAAATAAAAACTGTGGTGTAATTATTCTAATCAAGTAGCGTTTTAAAAAAGGCCTGCGCTTCCGTAACATCCTGACACGTAATCTTTGAACGTAAACAGAAAAAATAAATTAAATTGAAATCATGAAATGAATAATTACGTCACGTGTGCAAACCTATGGGCACCTTGACGTCCCATTATGGCATCGAGGAATGCAATGTCGCGATCGACAGATCGCTACACCGAAATATTAATTTCGTCGATACTGGTTCGCGATATGCATTTTTATTTCGATTTCATGGCCGTAGTTTTGCCAAACAACATTTTACCCGATTTGGATGCTTTAAGTTTGTTTCTCCGAGAATATTGTAATAAAATTAAATCAACTTGGCCATTTATGTAGGTTAATTGACGTCATCCATCGTCCGCCATTTTTAGGTGTAGTCAATCTGACAGAAAAAATAAAATATTAATTTTTTGTTTTCATGAATCGTTTGGGGCTCAAAAGAAATGCTAATAAAAAAATGTGCAAATGTCATATTTTTCTGTCAATTAAAATGTATCCCTTGAAAATGGACTAACAACCGTTTAAATTTAGTATACTATATTTTGAAAAAGTAATTAATTTTGTGTATGAAATTTAGCAAAAAAGTCTAAAATTAATATCTTAAGAGATATTCGTTATTAAAGTCATTAAAATTAAAAATATTAGCAAAAATATTTTAATTTAAATATTTAATTTTTTTTAAAAAGTAGCACTTTAATTGAAAAAAAAACTTACAAAATCATACAAACTTGTTTTCAATTTTATTTTGCTACATTTTTAGTTCACAAAAATTTCTTTTAAAACTTTAAAATGTTTACAAATTGACTGTAGCAGTGTTTAATAGTATATTATGTATCAAGTTTGATAAACGCCATTTTATACACGAATTTAATTTAGGCACGAGCGAGCTTGCGAGCGAGTTCTTAAATTAATGAGTGTATAGAAAAGTTTATAAACGAGGTGCATACTATACTTTTTCTACGACAAATACTTATTATTATCTTAAAATGATTTATATCAAAAATGTGTATAGAGCGCCATCTATGAAACAATAGGGGAATCTGTGTGTCACCGTCAAATGTCAATTTTTTTTATTTTATAAACATAGATTATAAAGGTTATAAATCGAAATGTATTTCTTGAAAATTGACAGTTTTTCACAGTGAAAGCAAGGAAAATGTTTTATGAGCACTTTACAGTGGAGTCCGTACCCGAATTTAAGTTATAGTTTACTGCCGGCGAAATTGAATTTTTTATTTTTGTATTGAGATAATAAAATAATTTTCACATTTAGTATTACCTATTTTACAAGAAAAGTACTTTATTTTAACGATTGTATTGTAACTTAAAACTTCAGCCCGTGACTAAATACCTGTTGCTAACTTCAGCCCGTGACTAAAGCTCCATAAAGCCACAACTTGTCAATGTGTATTTAAAAGGTCACTTAGTGTCATGGAAACATGTACGATAAAGGGCGTCTTAAAGGTGGGAGTCGAAAAACTCAATTATTTGAGTGACCAACTTTTTGACAAAAACATTATTCCGTCATATTCGCCATTTAAGCCGCATGCAATGATTCTATTAAAAACCAATTGTTGTTAATTTCTTTTCCTGGTAAGGATTATATTTTCAAAAAATTAAACAGAGTCTATTGTTAGCGATTTCGCAAGCAGTGCATTAACCTTAATAGGCAAAAAATCATATTTAATTTCATGAGAGATTTTGATGACTCTAACAATACTATTTAGTGAAAACGCGCATCGATAATAAAATTATTGTTTAATTACCTACTCTGCAATTAAATAATTTATAGAATAAATAATACTAAAGAAATATTATTACACAATGAGATTTTTTGAGAAATAATCTACGAATACATGAAAACGTAGTATTACACAATGCAATTAAATGTGTTTTTAAGTGAAAAGGAAGAATTCTTAATTTTTAACGGTTTGTCGAATGTAACATATGGTAACCACCCAACTGTCCTAATGTTGTAACATTTTGTGTCATAAGCTTCATTGTTCCCTAATTTGTGCAGTTTCACCTGGCATCTTAACTCTTCCGTATCAAAACTTACTAAGGGAAGTGTACCATATCTATCTACAAGTACATCTGCCTTAAGTCAAAATGCAGTTAAGGTGGTGCAATTTTTAACCTTCAAATGTATTAATTATTGAAATTTTAAAAAATTTATATTTTGGCATAAATTAA